CACACACATAGGTGTTTGCGCCCACCGCGAGGCAGGAGGCCGTGTTTGAGGAGATCAGCGAGCTGGTGCAGAGCGCCCTCGACGGCCACAAGGTGGGGTTGGTTGGGGGACGGGGAGGGGACGAGGCAGCTCGGCGGGCTCGCCAGGTGGCTGGACCGATGTCCTGGTGATCCAATAAAGCAAGGGTCTATCGGCCCCGAAACCAAGATCCTTGCGGTGCATGGGGCCTTGCGGCGGCATGCAACAAACACGCTCATGGTCTCCCCCCGGCTCCTTGAGAGAGCACGGCGCGGCGGCCCTGCGGCCCGCTCGCCCCCTGCCCTGCCCCCAGGTCTGCATCTTTGCCTACGGTCAGACCGGCAGCGGCAAGACGTACACCATGCTGGGCAGCGAGGAGCAGCGCGGCATCATACCACGCGCCATCCAGCAGATATTCGCCAGCAGCCGCCAGCTCACCGCGCAGGGCTGGGCCTTCACCATGCAGGTGCGGGGGCATGGACAACCACGTCCCCTGCCTGCCTCCCTCCCTCCCTCCCTCCCTCCTTCCCTTCCTCCTTCCCTCTCTCGCTCGCCTTCTGCATGTGCTTCCCTCTCCCCCGCTTGCTATGTCGCAGTATTTTTCGTTTCAGCCACACATGGCTGATGTCACACACACACACATACACACATATTGTCAGGCGTCCATGCTCGAGATCTACAACGAGGAGTACAAGGACCTGCTGGCCAGGAAGGCCGCCACCAAGAAGCACAACGTAGGGGGGCCACGGGCAGGGCAAGGGATCGCTTGAGAGCGATGCGCCCGGCAGATGCGTGCGTGTCCCTGGCCCCCGCGTCGCCCTCCGTCCGCGTAACGCGCCCTGCCGCCTCGATTAGCTGCCCGCCCTTCCGCGGGCGCGGCGTTTCGGCCCTCCTGCGCAGTCATCCGAACACCACCCCGTGCCACCCCAGGTCGTCCACGACGCCAACGGCACCACCAACGTGTCGGACCTGACGCTGGTGGACGTCAACACGCCAGAGGCGGTGGGTGGGGACTCTCTTGACCCTGTGCGAAGCGAGCCGGCCCGGCGTTGCAATCGAACGTGCTTGCACGGGACACAGCTGGGCAGGGGCGAGGGGACGGGCCGCGCCGGTGATTACGTGACTGGCTGCCTTGGAAGTCTGGAGCGGCGTGCCGCAGCCTGCGCCATGACGGCCTTCTCGCCCCGCCCTCTCGCCCCTCCCCCCAGGTGGACGCGCTGCTGGCGCGCGCGATGGAGAAGCGCAGCGTGGGGTGCACGCAGATGAACGAGCAGAGCAGCCGCAGCCACATGGTGTTCACCCTGCGCATCGACGGCGTCAACGCCAGCAGCCAGCTCAAGGTGCGGGCCGCGACAGCAAGGCAGCCGCGCCGGTCGCTGTCAACACTGAGGATTTTCACGCGTACACGTGCACGACGACTTGCGCGCGCGCGCACATACACACACACACACGCACACACGCACGCGCGCGCATACGATGTTCACCCCTGAAGGTGGCCGGTGTGCTGAATCTGATCGATCTGGCGGGCAGCGAGCGCATCAAGGAGAGCGGCGCCACGGGGCAGCGGCTCAAGGAGGCGCAGAACATCAACAAGAGCCTCTCCGCGCTGGGTGAGGCGCCCCCCGCGGGCGTGGGCGGTGCAAGCCGAGGCTCTGGCGCGGCGCCCACCAGCTCACCAGCACCTTTCGCTGCGAGGCACCCTTGCCTGATGTTGTGTGGCCTCGATCGTCTTTGCCCTCTCGCCCCCTCTTGCGATCGGACCGGCTCCCCTGCCCCCCCCCCAGGTGATGTCATCTTCTCCCTCGCCAACAAGGAGTCCCACGTGCCCTTCCGCAACTCGAAGTTGACCTGGCTGCTGCAGGTGAGAGCTTGCGGCGTGCCGCCCGCAAAACGAGGAAGCCGGCCCGCACCTTGCTGCCATCACTCTTGCCTGGTCGGCCACGGCAATCTCAACTCCTGCACGCCTCAGAAGCACGGCGCCAAAGCACACCCCTCCCTTTTCGCCCCTCCCTGACGCACGCACGCACGCACCCTTCCCTCCCGTCCCCCGCAGCCCTCCCTGGGTGGCGACGCCAAGACGCTGATGTTTGTGAACGTCAGCCCCGCCAGCGAGTACGCCAACGAGAGCCTCTGCTCCCTGCGCTTCGCGTCGAAGGTCAACGCGTGCGAGATCGGGGTCGCGCGGCGCAACGTGAAGACCGCGTGAGCGCGCCCTGGCAGCACGGGCGCGCCCCCTGGCGAGTGGCTGTTTCATGTGCCATGCCTGGAAGGTTGCTGCATACAGGGCAGCGCACGAACCTTAGTCGGTGCTCCTGGTATTGGCAAGCCCTCCTGAACACTGAGGCAGGGCGATCTAGCTTTGAGCTGGATGCTGGTGGTAGTTTTGGGGCGATTGCGCCATGTGACGCAGCGGCAAGGATGCCGAGGGGAACGGCAGCCCTGACGCCAAATGCCAAGCGGACCACAACTCATTGTCGACCGGTATTTGAGACGGAACGCACTGTGACCCAAATTGTCTTATGCCCGACCTGACCGTTCAAGCCGGGCACAAACCCCTGTTACCAGGGCTGAGGAGTAGTAGGCCCCGGCGGCGGACCTGGTGCCTGCCTGTTGCTCAACCCCTGGACTGGTCTTGTTCCCCTCCTCAACGCTGTAATCGCCAGTTGCGATGCATCTGGGTGTGGAATCGCAACAAGCGGGTCAAACAACAGAGGAGGACAGCAAGCTGGTGCAAAAAGCGGGCGATGCGGGGCAAGGCAGCTACCGCAGCTTCCTTCCAGGGAGTGTCAGAAAACTGTCAATGGCTGCCTTCTGCTGAACAGAACGTGCTCACAATGTAAGAATCTCCAACAGCGTGGCTTGGAACGCTGCCCAGCGAGCGAGGGCGAGAGAACCTTCTGTTACAGGCAAGCCGAATGTTCTGCGAGTACAACCGCTGAATAGTGTTGCATAAAGCATTACCATCCAAGGGTTTGACCTATCTACATGATGCAAAGTGCTCGTTGCACACAACGGCCGAAAACGCTGCGCGCCGCCACCGTACAGCTGTGATCAGCGGGCATTCTGAGGAGCGTTGTGACACAGCGTTCTGTGCGATCACAAGCGATCTCAAGATTTCTGCGTTCTGCATTCTGTGTTCCGGTCAGCCCCAAAGCCACGACTAATCTGGATGCCGGTGCCTGCGATAAGACATCGATTCACAACACGGTGATGTTGGGCAGGTCCTCGTCCTCGATGCGTGCGCCCTCCTGGCCGTCCAGGAACCTGCGACAGAGGCAGGGCTTGCTGGTCAACACGGTCAACCAGCATGGCCCGACCATGTTTGACCAGCAATTGAGCCACGGCCATCGCCAGAGCCGGCAGCCCCTCGGCTGCAGGAAGGGCTGGCCAGGCTCATCAAGGCAGCGATGCTCGCGCGTGAGTGGGGCAGTGCGAGGCGGCGTGATGACGACGAAGCCTCACAAGTGATAGCGGGGGTTGGACCACCTCAGCACCGCTCCCCGCTTCAGGCCCTTCGGCGGCCTCTGGGAATAGAACGCCAGCTGAGGGCGGTGTGACGCGAGGGGAGGGGGGCGGCGGCATCTGACCCAAGGGTGCGAAGTTGTTGGTGCAATCCATGAAGGCCGTGGGTCGATCGGCAGTCGTCCGGGGCAACTAGCCCCATCTGCAGTCAGTCCACCCAACGAACCCATAAGGCCTCCTGCCTGCAATTCCCCTCCCGATACCGTCCGGCCCCGAACAGCGACACCATCACCCCAATCACCACCAATAGCAGAGCAGCGGAGCAGCAGAGCAGCAGCAGCAGCATCCGCAGCAGCAACAGCAGCAGCAGCAGCAGCAGCAGCAGCAGCAGCAGCTCACCAACGCTGTCTCGCCCTCCTTGTCTTCGCCCAGGCAGGACCACCGGAGGGAGGGCTCCGGCTTGGTCACAACACGCAACTCCAGCACCTTGCCAGGCAGCTTCCCGCTAGATTCCAGCTGGGACCACCCTACCACCTCCCACTGCGCCGCGTCCGGCGGTACAGCACCGCCGCTGTCGCTCGCCACGCCCGGCGACGCGTCTTCGGCGCGATTGAATGTCGCATTGAATGCTGCAGAGGGCGTTGTGCAAGCCAGAACAATCAGCACGCATGGCGAAAGCAGGGGCGGGTGACCGACATCTGGCCAAGATGCGGCGGGCAGTCGCTTGGAGCAGCTTCATTTGGGGGCCCGTGGGTTGCACAAGGTCGTGGCACCGCTCACCCGCTAGGTGCCGTGAAACGGCCCCAACCCGGCAACTTCCTGTTGAGACCCAACCCTTGACTTTCATTGACCCCCCGCTCCAGTGGCCCCACCTTTCCGAAGGTCGATGTTGAAGCCCCACAACCCCCCGCCGCCCCAGCCAACCGGTGGGGGCCTCGCCCTGCGCCTGCCCAGAGCGCGGTCGTCCGGACCCGCCTCGTCCGGCGGCGGCGCGTCCGCTTTGTTGTGGAGCGCTTGGGTCCCAAGGGTGCCCAGGATCTGAGGACCCTGGCCGCCGGCCCTGGCGGGGAGCGGGGTTGAGGTGCTGTCGGGTTGGCAGGGATGCAGGAGCGGTCAGGTGCTACTGGCAGCTGGCCAGCTGACAGAAGCAAGCAGTCAAGGCTGAGCAGGCCGCAGGTGCTTGCTGCCGCCAGCGAGATCCAGGCCGGCGGAGCGGTCCGAGGCTTGGTTGATTTGACCCTTGAGAGGACGAGGTGTGTTTCACAGCAAGGGAAATGCGGGCAGAAGCCCGAGAACAAGGGTCTATGCCTGGATTTTCTCGTGTATGGCGCCATACTCCCGTGCTCAGGCGTGTGCGTACATGCACACCCGCTCGTCCATGGGCACGTGGCCTGCGCACACGCATCGTCGGCGCGTGCGCACCACCACCTTTACACGAACACACACGAGCGCGCAGCACAACAGGATTAACACTCACTGCTTAATGGCGACCCTCATGGCTTCTGGCTCGGCGCGCTGGGCTTGTAAAGCACATCCTGATGCGCTGATCAGCAAGCGTCCGAAACGCTGCATTGGCGAGAGCGGCGCTGCTGGGATGCCGCACTAGCAGGCCGGAATGCCAGGAAACGCAGAAGGCGAGAACACGCGTATGAGAGGAGTTTCAACGCCGATCACGCGGTGTGGATGACACCCAGTGCGCGTCTCAATGGACTTTTTCACACCCGCAGTCTACAGTGAGGGGCGGGGGAGGAATATCGGTACACCGTAAAGCTCCTACCAATTATGTATAAATGCGACTGGTTCCGCGCTCCCCAGTTTTCTTTGACGCGTCTACCGTGACTGAGGTGCGTGATCTGCCACTGCCTTTACCGTGGTGTGCACGCTATTTGTGCTCACAAATCCCGGTAATTGCTTGTGGTAGTGCCTGGCGCGGGCAGCTGCGGCGGCATTTCACCCAGGACGTCTTGTCACATGGGCCTGAGACTTGTGCGACTGCCGCCCCGCCCCCACCAAACCCCAGAAGGCAGCCTCGCGTCATCTCAGCGCACCAGCCGCACACGGTCTGCACTATGGTGTTCTGGGTGCTTGGTGTCTACAAGGTGAAGGACGTAGAGGCGGCTGCGGCATCATACGAGACGTCACGGGAGACGCGCCACGCAGCAGGCCAGAAGTCCTACCGAGTGTTCAAGGTCACCAACGCCCCCGAGGGCGAGCAAAAGGTGAGGCCGGCTGTAAGAGGCGGGTGGCCTGCAGGTTCGAATGGCGATATGCCCCCGTGCATGTACACACACACACACACACACACACACACACACACACACACACACACACACAC